CCCAACGCATGCCGTTGTCGTGACGCAGTGGGAATCCATTACGTCCCTGCTTCTTCTCGTTGTCAAGACGCTTCTTGGTCTTCTTGCCACCTTCCAAGATGCGTTTCTTCTCGAAGAAAATGTAGGCTGTGCGGTACACCACATTGGCCGCTCCCGATCCAGCGCCGCGCTTCAAGTTCATGAAGCTGCGCAGACTGTTGCTGTTGATGTCGCCGAGTGCACGCATGAAAGCTGCTTTTGTTACCGTCTTTTCCCCCAGGAAAAAGTTGATTTTCTTGCGGATCTCGTCGCAATCGTCATAAACGGCCACAGTGCCGTCCTCGTCCATATCAGGGAGTTCCACGTCCTGAATCTTCTTGAGCAAGTCATCACCAGTCTTCAGCTTCTTAGTCTTCTGTTCCTTTACCTCCGTGGCTTTGCGCTTTCTGTCTTGTGGCTTCAAAGCTTTAAGTTTGGCTTTCTCCGTCTTCTCCTTCTTTTCACGGCGGTAAAAGAAGATGGCTGCACCTTCGTACGTCTGGTTGTCACAGCCACTGTATGGGCCTTTAAGGTTCATGAAGCGATAGTACGAGTTGGAGTTAATGTCGCACAGTTTGAGGAAGGCCGTCTGGGTCATCTCCTTGGTGCCCAAGAAGTTGCGGATCTTGGTGCGAATCTGGTTGCAGTTCCACTTGCTCCACTCGGGGTTTTCCTCGTCGAACTCTTCCTCACTTTCGTTGCCACTGAGAATTTCAATCGCTGATGGCCGGGTAGTGGCCAACGTCGACGCATCGGTCAGCGTTTGCACGTTGCTGTTGAATATCGGAAGGCTGGCAGTTGATCCGAATTCCGAGGAAGTTGGCGCGATGCTGTTGAACATCGGGAGGCCAGAGCTTGAGGAAATGAAGCTGTAGGTCTGTGGCGCGGGATCACTGGCGGCTACGGAGCTGGCTGCCTCGGTCACGGACGATGCTGTCTCGCTCAGCAGTTGCGTCATGTTAATTTGCTTTTTCGCTTGTTCTCTTTTTCACTTGTGGCTCTTTTGGCGGGAAGTTGGCGTCGTTATTTTTATCCGACCTGTACAAACCGATTTGAAGGTTATGTATCGTATTCCACAGTGTCATCGATTGGCTGGCTCAAAAGTGGCAATTGCCAACATGGCCAAGGACGGCAAGAGCAACACGGTGGTTAAGGCTTTGGAGCCTGGCAACTTGAACCAGCTTGTGGCCCTACTCGGCGAACAACACGTGGCTTGGTATGACGCCGAGCCCAAGATCAAGCCCAAACTCAAGCACAAGAATGACGGTGAGCCATTAAAAGCGACCGATGAACTGGTATTGCAACTGAAGCAACAAGCGCAACAGTTGCTTGAAAACGAAGTGACACGATTCGACACGCAAAAGAGTGGCAAAATGTCAAGTGATGACAAATATTTGTCGACAATGATGAAGTCCGGTACATTGGCCGATAGAGTGGCCGCGCTCACTCTAACGTCGCAGGCGTCACCACTGCACTCGCTTGTTCGCATCGGCCAGCTCATTACCATGGCCAGTAAGAAGGCCCGACGTGAAAGCCTCATGGCCGTGGACTCTCTCAAGGATCTTTTCCTTAATAACCTTTTGCCAGACGAGGCAAAACTTCGTTTCTTCCACCAGCACCCGTTGCATGCGGCCCAGAACTCGCCCGCTCACTTAGTGCTCTATTTCTTTGAGCACTGCCTTAAAACAGCCTACGCCCAGCTCACTGGAGTGTTGGCCGCCGGTATGGACGACGCTGTGGACAGCCACAAGCGCGCGTGTCTGCGTGCAGCCAACGCGCTGCTCAAGGCCAAGCCCGAACAAGAGGCAGTGCTGCTGGCCATGCTTGTAAACAAACTCGGTGACCCGGATCGCAAAATTGCGGCGTATTTGCATCGAATGTTGCAAGATTTGCTACGTGAACATCCGGCCATGAAGCGCGTGGTGGTGGACGAAGTGGAACGTTTACTCACGCGGCCAAAGGTGTCGGACCGGGCCAAATACAACGCCGTGTTGTTCTTGAACCAGATTTACCTCGAAGGTGATGGAGTGGACACTGATCTGGCTGGCCACTTGATCTCAGTATACTTTGGACTATTCTCAAAGGAAGTACACCGACATGACGAGAAGACCAAGAGTGAAAAAGACGCAAAAGATGGCAAAAAGCACAAGAAAAACAAAAAGAAAAACTCCACACCAGCCTCCGACGAGGCCATGGACCGCAAGTTGCTAAGTGCACTTCTAGTCGGTGTTAACCGTGCGTTCCCATACGCCAATGCCACGTCGGCCAACTTCACTGAAGAGATCGACTCGCTGTTCCAAGTTGTACACCGTGCCCACCACAGTACCAGCGTCCAAGCGCTTATGCTGTTATTCCAGGTTATGAACAGCACCAATTCAGTGTCCGACCGGTTCTACACGGCGTTGTACGGCAAGCTAATCGACCCCAAAGTGCGCGAGACATCCAAGCACACTCTGTTCTTGAACCTCATCTTCCGGGCCGTGAAGGCCGACGTGTCACCGGCACGTGCCGGGGCCTTCACCAAGCGTTTATTGCAACTGGCCAGTGTCATGCCACCCGCTTTCGCCTGTGCTGTGCTCTTCTTGTTGTCCGAATTGCTAAAGGTGAAGCCGCAACTGCGTACGTTGCTGGACCAACCCGAGTCTGGCTCTACAGTTGCCGGTGACGAGCACTTTGAAGATGTAAAAACAGAGGAAATTAAGCTTGAAAAAGAAGAATCCGACGACGAGGAGGACACGACGGAAGACGCGGGTGTCAGTACATTAGACGACGGTCTGACGGATGAAGAGCGCTCGGCTAAAGTGCTGGCCCGAATGTTCGGTACACCAGACAAGGAGACGAAGAACGAGGCTGCTGTTGTGAGCTTCGATGACGTGCCGAATACTAAGGAAGAAGGCGGATACGACGCTAGTAAACGGAACCCGCTGTTCGCTGGCGCAGAGACGTCGTGTGCCTGGGAACTGCAGATGCTGGCCCGCCATTATCACCCGTCTGTGCAAAGTTTCACACGTCAGCTACTTGATAACAAAGACTCAGGTATTCAGTATGCTGGAGATCCGTTGATGGACTTCACGATGCACGCGTTCTTTGAGAAGTTCGTCAACAAGAAGCCACGTCATAAAGTGGCGGAGACGAGTGGGGACAACGGCGCCAAGGCGAAGAACTGGACGTTCGCACCGATCAATACGGAGGCAGTGTTGCAGGAGAATGAGGCCAACGTGGACGCGAGCGACCAGTTCTTCTACAAGTTCTTCAAAGAGCGTGCGTCGCGCGATGCTGAGCATCCGAATAATCGTCGTAAGAAGAGTAAGAATGAGCGGGATGCCGACGCGTTGTCTGATGTGGAGGAGGGCGCGGATGATGAAGAGATCGATGCGTACGCCCAGGAACTGGCTGAGGGGATTTTGGAGGATGGAAACCATGACGACGAAGACCCGGACATGGAGGCCTGGAGCGACTCGGGAGACGAGGAAGAACCGAGTTTGGAGGGCGAAGACGAAGAGATGTCGGAGTTTGCTGCTCCCGAAGAGGGTGACGGTGAATCTGTTGCTAGTGAGCAGGACGATGACGACGAGGAAGACGAGGAAGACGCCTTTGATTTCTCTGTTATGGGCGCAGATGACGACGATGAAGTGCTGCAGGAAGAGCTGCAAGAGCTGGGCGCCAAGAGGAAGAAACAGACGCCGCCTAAGGCTGGAGACAAGCGGAAGTCCTTGTTTGCCAGCGCTGACGAGTACGAGCAGATTGTGAAGGAAGCCATGGCCAAGCAGGCTAAAGGCTCGAAACCGACAAAGGGCAAGAATTCAAAGAAGCCGCGGCGATCGTAGATAGACAAGTCAGCGTAGACGGAAAGATAACAGGATGCATGGCAAACAATTTTTAGAGTTTTTTTTTTCATTTTTCACGTGCTTATGGCAACTAAGCGACAACGATTCCGAGCACTGTTGATAATGAAGCAACACACCTGCGTGTGAAAATAACGAGCTATACTTCACCTTGGTTTCAGGCTGATGAGTTAAAAGAAAAAAACAAAACACGGCAAGGAATAATCCCATCGCATGGATAACTGGTTTTCACTTTACTTTAGTAAGCACCAGTGTTCAACCCCCTCCGCCACTTCTTTCTTAATTCACTCTTCTCCTCCCCGCAACGTAAAATTATCACTAAATGCAGCGCGAACTCGGGATCGAAAAAGCACCGACAGCACCGGCACCAGGAAACAACGAGGACGAGAGCGTCGACGCCGCCTTCACGTACAAGTACAACTACAACCAGATCCGCTCGAAACTCCGCACCTTTTTAGGGACGAAGGAGCTCACGCTAAGCGAATTTCTTAAAGAATGTTAGGTGAAATCGGGTCCCTACTACCGCTTCAGAAGCATGAGTGGCCCGGCTAAAGGAGCAGGCAATACAACTTTACATGGGGCGTCGCTGTTCTTCTACCGACGTGAAAAGAGAGCAAAGATAGAAAAGACGACGCAAAACTCGAAGGACAAGAAGCGTAAAGCGGCTGAACAACGGGAGGAGAAGGCGAAAAAGAAGAAAGATGGGCTTGATCTTCTCGAGCGTATCGAGGAAATCGAGCTGGAGGATGAGAATGTGCCTGTGTACGATGACTGCGACGACATTCGCCAGAAGATCAGCGAGTTCCTAGGAGAGAAAATCGTGACGCAAGCAGCGTTTCTGACTGCTCTGGGCGTCAGTGCAAACAATTTGCACTACTTCATGGGTATAAGGCGTGGCGCACGGTCGGGTGCTGAGACTGTTGTGTACCGCAAGGCCTATATCTTTTTTGAAAAAAAGCGCATCATTGAAGGCGGTGCAAAGACCAAGAAACGTTTGGAGAACGAGGAGCGGACGGGCCCCAAGGGATTTAAAGCTGACCCACGGCCAACGCGTCGTCTACCATGGTAATTGTTCTATCTCGTCTTAAATTTTTAACTTGCAGCATTGCAAACAGTGGGTGTTCGATGAGAACCCATACTTTCTTTTGTCTATCTATTTTTTGCAAGTTGCAAATTGCAACAAGGCAATGCAACTGTTTGGTCTGTCACTATTCTGGGGTAAAAAGCGCGGGTAGATTTTCAAATAAATCTCCCGCCGTTGTTGCACAACTTTTTTATGAGTGAACCAACAGCGAGAGTCCATGCTCTAGCCATCGACAACGGGCCCATGACAACCAACGCGTCTGCATCAACAGTATCAAACCCTGCTTTAGCAGACGACGAGGAGTATAGTGATGACGGGTTTGACTCGCAGAACCTTCGATACAATTGCAACCAACTTCGCGCCAAAATCCGCGAATTCCTTGGTGAGAAAGAAATGACGCTAAAGGAGTTCCTAGAGGAATGCCAAGTTAATCCAGGCTCTTACTACCGATTCATGGAGCTCAATGGCCGTGACAGAGGGGCAGGAAACACTACTTACTACGGAGCTTCCCGGTTTTTCTACCGACGTGATCGGAGAGCGAAGATTGAGAAAAGAAAGCAAAAAGCGAATGACAAGAAGCGCAAAGCTTCGGAACATCGAGAGGAGAAAGCCAAAAAGGCAAGAGACGGATTGGATCTCCTTAAACGCATTCAGGAGACTGTATTGGGAGATGAGGACGAAAATGGTTTTCCACCAGTATACGACGACTGCGACGAGATTCGCAAGAAGATTAGCGAGTTCCAAGGCGAGAAGATCGTGACCCAAGCGGCATTTTTAAAAGCTATGGGAAACGTTAGTGCCAATAGTTTGCGCAGTTTCATGAGTATGAAACGTGGTGCTGGCTCAGGTGCGGCGAATGTTGTGTACCGCAAAGGGTACGTCTTCTTTGAGAAGAAACGCACTCTGGAAGGTGGCAACAAAACCAAGAAACGCTTGGAGAACGAGAAAAAGCAAGGCCCGGACGGCTTTGAGCTACGCCACGACGATGGCAAGCGCTACTATCTCGTTTCAGAACTGCAACAAACAGTTTAGTAGTAAAATGCAAATTTGAGGAATGTATGCGATGAACAAACATATTTTATATTCTCACCATTTTGCCTTTGTGTCATTCCAGATGCAACAAGTGCAACAAGACTTTCGAGAATGATTGTCAACCGAAACTATTCAAAAAGCAATTGCAACTTAGTTCTTGAGTGCGATCTCATACGTCTGCTCGGCGATGCTGCGTTCCTCATCCGTGTTAACGACCATCACCTTGGTCTTGGCGTCGTCGGCCTGAATCTCCACCGGGCCTGAGCCCATCACGGACACAGCGTTCTTGTCCTCGTTCAGCTCAATGCCAAGGAAGCCCAAATTACGACACACACGCTCACGGATCATAGCCGAGCTCTCGCCAATACCAGCCGTGAAAATGACAGCGTCCAGGTCACCACCCAGCTCCAAAGCGTACGCACCGAGGTACTTACGGACACGGTGGGCAAACACATCGAGCGCCAAAGAGGCAACAGGGTCGTTGCCAGCACGTACGCGGTCCTGGATAACACGAATATCGCTCTCATCACAGATACCAAGCAACCCGCTCTTCTTGTTGAGCATAGTGTCAACTTCCTGGATAGTCATGTCAAGTTCCTTGCATAAGAACGCGTGGAGCGCAGGGTCGACGTCGCCACAGCGTGTGCCCATGACAAGACCCTCAAGCGGTGTCATACCCATGCTGGTGTCAATGCACCGACCCTTGCTAATGGCAGCAAGACTAGAGCCATTGCCTAAGTGGCATGTAACAAAGTTGCAGTGTTCCACGGGCTTGCCAAGGATAGCAGCGGCCTTCTTGGCCACGAACTGGTGGCTGGTACCGTGGAAACCGTAGCGACGCACGCCAAAGTCCTCGTAGAGTTTGTGTGGGATACCGTACGTGAAGGCCTTGGGCGGCATAGTGGCGTGGAAGGCCGTGTCGAAGACCACGACTTGCGGACACGGGCCAAAGACCTCGGTGGCCACCTCAATACCCAGGAGGTTACCGGGGTTGTGCAGTGGGGCTAGTTTAATGTTGGCCTTGATGGCCTCGACCACCTGATTGTCTACGAGTGACGCACGGCTAAAGGCCTCACCGCCGTGCACAACACGGTGGCCCACGGCCTTGATTCCTTCCAGATCCGAGCCGAAGAACTTGCCCACGGCGGTCTCGAGGGCCGTACGGTGCGTGTCCAACGGCAACTCGATCTGCTCTTTCTTGCCAGTGGCCAGCGTCTTGTGCGTGATGCGGCCATTCTTACTGCTGGGCGTGGACAGCTCCACGAGACCCGTGAACACGGCAGCACCCACACCTTCGGGCTCTAAGCCGAACAGCGAGTACTTGAGCGACGAGCTACCAGCGTTGATCACTAACAGATGCGAGTCCGGTACGGAGGACGAGAAGGCGCGTGTGGCTGACCTGATGACAGGAAGCTTGGAAGAGAGCGAGCGCAACATTGCAATAGCGAGATGATTCCTCTTCGGGCGAAATGTTGGAATGATGCAATTGTTGGATGCACAAAAGTTACGTACTTGGGCGAGTTGCAAGTTCAGGGGAAGCGCTAAATGAATCTGTTTGTGGCAAAATCTCGCAACGCTTTGGAAATGCAAGTTTGCTTTGGTTGCAGTGCTGCTGCTTCAAGACATGTGTTGAGGCTGAAAGAGCTTGCTCGAGTGCCATTTACATGGGCTTGACTTGCGTGTGCGTCGATGAGATCTATGCATCGAGGAAGACGCAAGGTCTCTACACCGCGATAGACTTGGCAATTGTAATGCGCGTCATACGGTTGCGAGATGGGGGTGTCCAAAGGTGCTGTATAACAAAAGTAAAGTGAAGAAAAGATACGCAAGCTCTCTTTCAATCAATCACCGAAAACTATACATTGCAAATGTTTGTTACTAAATACAACTTTTGTCGCAGTGCTTGCTAATTGTGCACCACTACCAGCACGCGCCGCTGTGCAAGCAGTGCCACTGCAATGCAGATCCTGCCGCGGCTCTGGGCTGATAGGAAACACTTCGCAAGATGCTGTGCATGGATGACAATTGCGGAACTCAAACTGGATCAAGAATCTTGATCCAGTTTGAGTGATTTCTTATGAAACCGGCAACAGGCAAGACTTAACGCTGCAATTCCAATGGAAAGATGTGAATTCCAAGGCAAGTGAGGTCGGGGTTACGGTGGTCACCTTTGTGGTGCTGACAGTAAACTGGTGCCACTACAGTCCGTCACGGAGCCTCGTCCCTGCCCAAAATAGGCTTTTGTGGACGGTATCAAGAACCAAGCAGAAATCGAGAGACGCTGGCTGCGATTTGCTCCTCATGCTGCGAACTGGAGACAGCCAGACTTGACTTGAGTGGCGGAACGCAGTGCTACAATGTCCAGTGTAAGGAATGAAAAAAAATTTGCGATCCATTACGGTCACTACAGTAGATAATGCCGTGACAGCAAGAGTATATTTTCTTTTACAAAAGAAAAAGCAAAAAGGTATTTTCCCAAAGACCGAAGCACCGAAGTGGAGGGAATTTCTTGTTCGTGCGCTTCAAGATGAACCGTTGCAAGTCATACGATACACAGTACAAGCTACAACTACATAGTAGTTTTCCACGGTAGTGGCATCAACAGAGCAGGTCATCAAAGATCGACGTGCCTGATGTGAAGGAAGCACCCTCAGCCTTTGACCTTGCGGCTACAGGTTTGCCTGCGCTCTTTAAAGTTAAGCCCGTTGGAGCCATGGCCTTTTGTTTCGGCGTCCCCCAATTAACCTCTGGGTCAGGTTCACGGGGATCAACCGGCGAGGCTGCTGCTTGCTTGATTTGGCGCACAAGTGTAAGGATTTCTTGTGTAGATCGCATTCTTTGTCGCGGTGTAGTGCGTTGGGAAGACAAGTCGTCCACTGTGTCGATGGACGTGAATGACGCCGAATCCCACATTTCATGCGCACCTAACGTGGCCTCATCTGTAGCCATCGTAGTCTCGTTCATGAGCGGAGACGCCTTGCTGTCACTAGTTGCCGAGGACCGCGACGACCCGAGAAGCGCTCGAGCCAATGCTCTGCTCTTTCCACTCGTCCGCGGTCGAAAACTGCGGTCACTGTGAATGCTACTTCGACTAGCATTGAGATCATATCCGTCAACAGCGCTGTTTGTTGAAATACCATCGTCCGAAAGACAAGATTCACATCTCTGACTCGACTGGGACGTTTCTTCAAACTTCTTGTCGAGTAACTTCTCTAGAGCCCGACAACGTCTTGTAAGTGCTTCAATTTGATCTCTGTCTTCCACTTGGGTATTGTTCGATACACTCTCTTCAGCTGGAAGTAGATTTGTTTGTGTCTCGATAGCACGGACACTTGACAGTGCTGGTCTCTTTGTCTCGTCGAGTTTTGCAGCTATCTGAGCAAGTTGTTGCTCGTGCTCACTCTGCATCGCTTTAACAGCGTCCTGATGTTGTTTCGTTATAGCTGCCAGCTTCTCCGGAAGCACGCGTTCCTCTCTTACTTTCCGTGGCAGTTCCTGTGTTTCTATTTGCGATATCTCCAGTTTTTCTATTGTCTGGACCAGAGCTTGTTTATCCTTGGCATATCGACTTTCCATGTCGTCTTTACTCTCTCGTAGCTGTCGGATAGTGTCTTGAAGAACACGAATTTCTCTGTCGTGGAGTTCCTTCGCACGCTCTTGTTGTTTCTTTAGTGCTTGGCATTGTCTCTCTAATGCCTCTGCGCCTTCCTTTGCCTGAGAAATACTTTCATGAGTATCTCGGTGTTGACTCACAACCTGCTTCCGCTCAGCTCTCGCGACGTCGAGTTGAGTTTTCAGTTGCGCTTGTTCATCCTCATAGCGTCGACAAATATGGTCGTGCTGAATTATACAGGGTTAGTACCAAGACATTACTTAAGACCAAGCTAAGAAGCGCTACTGTACCTGTTCTTTGGCGGCTACAAACTTGAATTCCAGTGCTTCTAGGTCGAGTTTCTTGCGGTGTTCGGCTTCGGTCGCTGTCTGCTTCCACTGCTCGATTTCTTTATTCGCAGTACGCAGCTCGTCTTCTAGCTGAGTTTCCTTCTTCTTGTACCTACCTCGAACACGTTTAAGCTCCGCAAGAGACTCATCCACAACTTTTTGCATCCGTTCCTGGTGGAATTCCTGCACTTGTTTGATTGCACGGTCGAAGTTGGACGTCTGTCTGCGTTCATGCCGCTCTATGGCTGCGTCCACAGTTGCAATGGCCTGTTCTAGCCCCGTAAGTTGTTCTGCCATCGATATAGGGACTGCAGCTTTCGCTTCACGGCCAATATGCCACGATGACAGTGTCGGTGCGTCTTCTCCGTCGTTAGAAGGCTCTTGTGTCTTATCCGACGACCCATTTTTATCATTATTAGACTCCCAGATTCCTCCTAGATAGGTCATTGACGTCTGGAAGTTGTGTGTGGGCTCATGGGAATATTTCCTTGCTAGTGTCTCCAATTTTTGTTTAAGTAGCAAGAGCCATTGTGTTACAGCATCATCTGCAGTCTCCTGACTTCCTTGTCGTATAGGAAGAGGAGACGACCACGAGCTCTGCACAGTCGATACGTCCGAGCTCTCTGTCTCGCCTGCTTTAGCTGCTACAGTCTTCTTCCATTTGTCCTGGAAGTCACTCAATTGCCTCCTCACCGCCTGTAGCTCGGCGCTGATCTCGCTTTGCTGAGCTAATAATTCGTTCTCTACTTGTTTCTCCTCTTGTTTGGACACTGGAGATAGCGGCTTCTCGTCTTGCAAGCGAGGAGAGACGCAAGGTGGTGGTTGGAGCCAGTTGGCGCTGCTACGGACACTCAACACGCCCTGGAAGCTCTCCTCCAGTCTGCGTCGTGTATACAATGAGTGTAATTCCCTTAAGTCGCGTTGTTTCTCGTCCAGGAACCCCCCTCGGGCTCGTTGTATACGGTATACCCGCTGGTGTTCAGTACTCGCTAAGCTACTAGCCGTGTCCAGACTCACATCGGCCTCCACGTCGCTCCAGTCGCCTACAAAGCTGCTGCTAGCCGCCTCACTGTACTCCTCCCAGTCTGGCAACGCCCAAGACACATTCGTGTCGCCTCTACCGCCCTCGGCATTGGGTTCTACCGCTGCCATGGAGCAGAGTGTCGCTTGACTGAAGCTTTTGGGGCTTTAAATATTTAAAAACATATGATTGGCTGAAACTCGATGAAAATACACTTCAACGTTAGACGCTCAATGATGCAGTTGTATACCAGCAAGAAGTTACATGTATACACTTCGTTCAGTACATGTTCAGAAAAACGCAGTCAGTCGTCAGACTCCGAGAGATAACGGGAAGATGTTTTAAGGCGCTTTCGACGACCCCTGTTGACGCTTGGAGGTGAAGATAAAGATGCTACATTGGTGTTGGCACTCGCGTTGATCGTACGATGCGTCCCTGGTGGACAGAGCCGCTCGTCCTCTGAGTCCAACCAGCGTATCTCGTCGTCGACCTGAATCTGCACGAGCAGCGACGTAGATGTGGCCAACACTCTACCGTCGCGCCACAATATCCGTTTCTTGCCTGGTCGTGCGTCGCCCACCTGTACGTCGTCATTCACTTGGAATTTCCGCCAATTAGGTACTCTCGAGTGCTTTGGCATGAGTCTCGGCGACGTTTTAGCCAGCCACTCGTCCCATTTGACACTCCAGCCCCGATAATGCACTTTGACTCTCGCGTCCGTGATGTCGACGATCTTCGCCTCGTACCATCTACTGTCGGTGTCCAGAGCGTCCACAATTTGATCCAATTGGAGCTCTAATCTCCACTGCTCCAGTTTTTCAGCTGTCCATTCTTCTGGCGCGGGAGACGAAGGTGGTGACTGCACTGCAGCTACCGGAGCTTCCGAGTTTGGAATGTGGCCGTGACCCGTAGCACGCTCCTCCAGTCCAGAAGGATACACATCCACGCCCAGTCGTCGACCCATGGTAGCAACTTCGCGACGTACTGCCCAGTCATAGCCAAACTCCAAGGACAGCGCACTCCACACTCGTTCACTAACCAGTCGATAGTCCACGTCCTCCATCAGATGAGGCTGTAAGATAGAACGACTACAGCAGCGACAACTGCGTTTGGCGTCCACGATATCAGCATTTCGGATGCGTGAGTCCGTGGGCGTGTCACCCCGCTCCACTACGCGCTGCCACCAGCCACAAGACACGACGAACCAAGCCTCTCCGAGGCGATACGCACGTGCCATTCTAGTGATCTGAATACAATTCTGAAGTTGACATGGATATAGATCCGGAAAAGTTATAGCCAATGAAAATGTGAAATTCTAAACTGCGGTGTGCACCACACAGCGACGAAAATGCTGGGTACTGGGCTGCAGTGGCTACGGCGGCAGCGACGCGTGCTGGTGCTGGCTAATGGTGCGCTAAAGCCACAACGACTTGTGCGGACACGGGACTCGATCGCAGCGAATATATGGCGGCGCAATGCAGCACAGACGCGTAGTTTTGCGATGCCAGCGGCTATCCTGAACCAGATGGACCTGCTGGGACGCCGTTATGATGAGTTGGCACATGAACTGTCGCAGTACGTGGCAGTGTCTTGGCTACTTCGTTGTCTCTCAAGTGTCTTATGTGGTTATGATGGCGTTGATTCAGCAATGACGGCAGCTTCTCGTCCGACAAGATCACCAATCTATCTATTGAGATGGCGGAGCTGGAGCCCAAAGTGATAGCAGTGCGGGAATTACAGAGTCAGGAGAAGGCAGTGGAAGAGCTGGACGAGATGATCAACGAACAAGCGGATAGCGACGAACCGGACGCTCTGGAGCTGCGTCATATGGCCGAGGAGGAGCGTCGTGAACTACTTGAGGCCATTATTAATCTCGAAGGCGAGGTAGTTCGACTCATGCTGCCTCGTGATGAAGCAGACGATAAAAGCTCGATCTTGGAGATCCGCGCTGGTTCTGGCGGTGACGAGGCTTGCTTGTTCGCTGGTGATATCCTTAAAATGTACCAGAAGGTGGCACTAGCCAAAGGCTGGAAGTTCGAGCTTATGAGCATCTCGGAAACAGACCTGGGCGGTGTTAAGGAGTGCGTTTGCTCTCTTACAGGACGTGGAGCCTATGGTCGCATGAAATTCGAGAGTGGGGTGCACCGTGTACAGCGTGTACCAGTGAACGACGTCCGTGTACACACGAGTGCCGTGTCGGTTGTGGTACTACCTGAAGCCGAGGAAGTGGAGGTCGAGATCGACCCCAAAGACCTCCGTATCGATGTATACCGCGCGTCTGGAGCCGGCGGTCAGCATGTGAACACTACCGAGAGCGCTGTGCGTATTACACACATTCCTACGGGCATCGTAGCAGCCGTGCAGGATGAGCGATCACAGCACCAGAATAAGGCAAAAGCGCTCAAGATCCTGCGTGCGCGTGTGTTCGACGGCATTCGTCGAAAACGCGACGCCGAGCGTCAGACTATGCGGAACTCGCAGGTCGGCTCAGGAGACCGCTCGGAGCGTGTACGCACCTACAACTTCCCTCAAAGCCGCGTGAGCGACCACCGCGTGAACGTTACTGTGTTCGGCATCGAGCGAATGCTAAACGGCGAACTATTGGACGAAATTGTGGACGCTCTGGTAGTCGACGAGCAGAACCTCCTACTGCAACAACTTGAGACACCGTAGATCGTAGAACATGTAGCCATGTTAAAAAGGTAGAACCAACATTTTGCATCAACAACGATGAGATCGGGCTCTGCGAAGCCATGTTCATGGGATGCGACGTGACTTGAAGGCGATGCAGGTGTTTCGCGGTACAGTGCGAGAGCATAACACAGGTGGGGAGTCACACGCATGTGTCTTGTTAATACATCTCGCATAAAAATCCAGGGCGTCCTGAATCAAGACAAGGAAATCCAAGCAACATGGGATGTACGATAAACGGAGGCGCGTATTAAGTTACGCTAAATAGTCAACTGACCAACTGCAACATGGCCAGGGTCTAAAATATCTAGCCTACAATAAAATAACGAGAGTATTCTCACTGGGCCAGGGCTGCCACGGCGCTATGTCGGTCTTGATAGCCGAACGAGAAGCGGCGACTGAGGCCTACGCCCATACTGACACTGATACTGCCGCGACGCTTCTTGGTGAAGTGGTGGTCGTGACGTCTCACCTCTCGTTGCATCGAAATACTACGCGAAAATCCCGATGCGGTGCTGTTCTTAGCTTGCTCGGCGTCCACGTCAAAGAATTTGGCGATAAGGGTCAGCAATTCACAGCCACGTAGACGACAGGTCTGTAGCTCGACCGAGTTGCAAAGATTGAGACGCATAGCCATCTTTAGGAAGAATTGGTCCAGCTCGCTGGCGCGTGCCTCGAGTTTGTGCTGTGTGAGCAGTAAATGCTTCTTGGGGAACTTATCTTGCTCGAAGCCAGCGAGGAAGTGGCAGTGCTCGGTGCACGAGTTTTGTACGGTGTCCTCACTAAGCGTCTTGCTGAGCTCAAGCCACAGCTCGCGGATCTCGCTGTAGCGCTTAGCCACCTGCCAGCGCGCACGGCCACAAGTGACTTGGAGCAGGTACAGCCAAGTGCCATCGGCTGAGAGGCGCAACTCGCCCACTTTGACTTGCAATGACGAGAGGTCCGGTAGGCTCTGGGTCGAGACGTCCATGGACACGCACTTGGATCGGGTAGTAGTCACCATCGTAAAGCTTTACGGTGACGTGAAGTAGTACAACTTTTACAGCGGCGGGAGCACCAATGTGCGCTGTACCGGGCGGATTGGGGAATGAGTCTTCAGCATCGCGTCCGCTCGCCAGCGAAAAGCGCAGGAACAAGCAACTGGTTCAAGTTAGTCAGCAATACAGAAACATAGAAAGATAACAAGAGAACGGCCGGATGTGCGGGATTGGTTTAAAACCTTCTGGCGGTCGCAGCTGTGGGATGCGTCTGGTGACACGAAGGCGTGTGTGCTTCTTCATAATTTTGGTTCGTATCAAAGACTCGAATATATTATTTCTTAAAAGTCTTGATAAAGATCTAGGACTTTCCTTTGTCATAGGTTATAACATATTTAAAGGTTTGAAAGGAGATGTAGTGAGGCCTAAGTCGAAACGATGGCAGTGAGTGACCTCCTTCAATGTGCTGCGACTTCAACATCATGAACCAATAAGGGATCACGTCTTACTAAGGCTCCAGTAAACCACCGACAAATTTCCCACCGGATCCATAGTCTGACCCATCGGACGATGGCCAGTTCAAAACAGAACTGTGCCCAGCGGGAACTGTCCGATAAAACTTTCACTCGAACTGGTCGTCTGGATATTCGATCGGTATTGTTGTACAAATTGTACTGAAGATCCCACTCAGAAAGCCGTAGTGGCAGAGGGACTGTGGTGTCGACTCAGGTCAGGAGCTAACTAATACATGCGTGCTTTGCTATTGTTAGTTCTGGGCGTTTTTGTGGTTGTGCTTCACCGCAGAATGCAGCGCGGTCGCTGGCGTGGATAACGGTGCTAGGTGCTGCGCTGGACTAACTGGAGATCATTCAGGATCCCTAGAAATTCACTCTGATATCGTTGTGGCCAACGTGGCATGCAGCTTCACTTTTTTTCAAGGCCGTACACTGTACGGTACAGTACAACTCGAGTCGTCCTTCTTTACAGAGAGCACGGGCTTTTCTTTCGTATTTCTTTTGTCTGGCCCGCAAACACACCCTCATCGCCTCTACTGTGGATGGTATACCGAGGTCCAGTGGCGTTCGATGCCTAGCGTCTGGTACCTTAAGTCAATGTTTGGTCACAGCTGGGAGCTTGTATAGTTTCCGTGATCCATAGTGCTCGTATCGATGTAAGCAATGACCAGCCGTTGGCTCCAAGCCTGACGACCACGCAGATTGATGCGATATCTATCTGCTGGCCCATTGGTACAGTATGAATGTATGGGCAGTTGGTGATCCCATGCGCCGATTGCGGGCTGGTGATCGGGACTGTATGATACTTGCTGCCGTTTAACCGTTTACAGTTTAAACGTTTCCATTTTCCTTTCCGAGCATAAGCTTACTAGTACATGTATCGAAAAGGTATCCATGTTAAAATGTAGCCACTTCAATAATTGGGCCTTCGACCACAGAAAGATCCTCGAGCGTCATGGCTGCGCTTCAGGTCGCCGATATCTTCGATGCCCATGCCGCCGAAGCCCCCATCCACCGCCTCGTATCGGTACTCAACACACAGGCAGCCCAGATCCGCGAGCTACAGGAAGATCTACGGCTTTTGCGGGCCGCACAGCGCCAGACATGCGCAGACTGCCGTGCTCTGCACGCCACAGTCTCTCCACTCGTTCCCCGTATTCACACGACGGAGAACGACGTCGTCGCTCTGAAGCAATTCCAAATTGCAGCTCAGAGACAACTCGAGACGATCAAGCGTCAACTTCAAGGCAAAGCAGACTGCCAGGAGGTTAAAGCTGTCGAAAATCGTGCCAAAACGAGCTCAGAACAGCTCGAAAATGAACTCCGCAGTGAGCTCGCTACTTTGCAGCTGGTGCAGTGTCTACAAGCAGAGCAGAGTGAGCTGCACGAGCGCTTAGAGACTGTTGATAGACAACTATCCTTCAAAATGGACAAGGTATAAGCTATTACAGCTAAAGCTGCTGTCACTCGTTTAACAATTGTTATTCGACATGTTGCACTGACAGTCAGAGGCAGCACGACTGGATGGTGTTTTGGTTCAGATTCACGGCTTTCGACCGATGGTCACGCAGCTGTCGGCTCAAGTAAAGGGCGTGCAGACGCAACAAGAGGAAATTGGACGCTCTGTTGCTCAACTCGACTCGAAGAGCGACGCCCATGAGAACGAAGTGGAGAAGATACGGCAACACACGAACGACCTTCAACAGATGCTTGACGACGTCGAAGATCGTCACCATCGAGTTGTAGCCCCGCAGATCCGACGGCTGGACGATACGACAGAGCAACTGCATCATGCGTTAGATGAGGCCAAAACTGCTGCAGCTACAAGCGATACAGCGCTGCGCACGCTGTCGGCCAAGTTTCACTCGAGTGCAGGCGCATTTGCCAACCAGATCCAACAACAATCTCGCCACTTTGAGGTTTGTGTAGCCATGTCTGGAGTGTGTTGTTGTGGAGGGAATTTACAGTTAGCCATTTTCTACATGTATGTTGTTTGATTGCAGGACGTCTTTGAGAAAATGGCTCCACGTTTCGAAACAGAAGTTCAGTTGAAGAACTTGAAACAGCAAATGGCTTCAAAAGTTCCAGATTTAGAACATCGAGCTCTATCGTCCAGTGTAAAAGGTCTACAAGTTAGTTGCGGGAAGCTGAAGGAACATGTGGAGCTGAGCACGCGCTTCATGGACTGGTTTGCACGTCGTGGGGAAGCGTACGAGCACAATCTGGAGCTCGTGGAAACACAACTGGGTCGCCTTGCTATGGCTTCGCATCCTCGAAGCCGCGAGCCTTTTGGGGAGCATGTTCGCTTCCCTAGATCTCCTTGACAAATTTAGATTTTAGAACGCTTCATAAATTGTTGAAACATTTCTCGGAGCGACTCTCGCTCTTCTTGTTGCATCATTCGCGCTGCTGCCTTTTTGGCATCTTCAGCAGGAGCCACATACGTGATCTCTGGTGGTCGGATAGCCTGCACAGTGTCTTTGGATTGGGATTCTCTCTGTTGCTCCAGGTGTCTACTCAGTGCAAGAAGCTCAGCCTTACGTTGTTGTTGCACTTGAACTGTAACCCGTGATGCTCTCCTATGATCCTCCTGTTCCGGAGTAGCTGCATCTTGCTCGACTTCCACGAAGATGGATTCACGAGGAGAAGCAAGGCTGAAGCGAACACTTGAGGGGTCAGCATTGGCTCCGTTGACAGCAAATTTAGGATTTAGAACGTCCTTATTCGTTCTATCCTGTTCTTGATTATCGTAAATGTTGACAGCTTCGTCTTCCAGCACGTAGTTAGCTGAGATTTTGAGACAACTTCCATCCTTCGTGTAAAGTGGACGATGTGGAACAAACCCTCTAGGAGCTGCGACTGCAGACGGCACTCGCACCTTGATAAGTGTGCGTCCAGATAATTTTTCGTCTTCATCTCGTGAGTTTTCAGAATTTTCATCAATTGCCGGTGCTACATGCGGCCGAACGCCGTTGTAAATGATTCGTAGTCGCTCCTGTTCCACTTCATACAACAATTCAGTGTAATCTATCTTCATTTTTTCTCGATAGGATCGTTCTCCAAGACACACGATGTCTCCACAGAATCGCCAGAGCTCGTCCATTGCTACTAAACAAACGTTAGATACCTGGTTCAATTTGTAAAATAACGCATCTCGCTGCTTCTCCTCCCGTAATCGATGGGTGGAAATGGATCGAAAATGACGTCGAGGATCACTTGCCAGCATCTCAAAGTCCCATAAGGATTTCATCATCCGCTCTCGCTTGACGATGGCTGTTTGTACACGTTCCCAGAGTTGTACAGCCGTTGGAAACTGGTCAAAGTGGTCAGCATGTGTGTACTTGAGCACCAAATCTAGCTTGGCTTTCGGTGGTAGCAGAAGCTCATTTATAACTGAATCCATGCGTCGCTGAAGATCTGCACGTAATGGGAGTGGCGCGCTACTGTGGCTTTGATTTAACTCGGTAGTCCCAGATTCTGGGCGATTGCCTGATCTAGGTCGACCAGATTGGGGGCGACTACCTGCCGAGGGTGCAGCGGAAGTATCAGCAAAATGTTTCTGGATGAGAACTTGCTGTGCGGTCTCCTTGTCTAGTAGTTTGCTGTGCTTTGCCATGGTCGCAGTGGACTGTCGGATTAAAAGAGTGTTTAACGCTGATCTCCGAGCTCTTGTGACTGCGGCTGCTCTATCATCTTCCACTTGGTTTTTGGAGAGTGAGCTAGAAGAAGGGTCTTCGTCGGATTCATTGAATGAATGAATTTCATTCGTCTCCGGTACGATGTCTTCCATTTTGCTGATCAACGTAACAAAATCGTCGTCCTTGTTTGAGACACTCTGGTTGCTGGTTTTCGTTTTGGATTTTCGCACAGGTGAGTTGATTGTTGAAGACTTTGGTGGAGATTTCGATGGTGACATTAATGCTGGAACCTCCTTTGATGGTGACGGTGCTGCGGAGCGAGTATCCAGTTGAGAAGATAACGAGGCACTCTGAAGTTGACCACGCGATGGGGAACCAGCAACGGAATCGGTACCAGCGTTGTTGAGTTCTTTTTCTTCTTCCTTGGGCCACCAGGTTGACTCTGATGTTGTGGTAGTAGCAGCTTCACTTGTGGTGTTTGTACTTTCGTTGCTACATGTAGGTTTTCGTTCAGGACTTTGCTGAACCATTTGATCGGATGGTATACTTGAAGCAATTCGTGCTTTCATGACCGAACGTCGAGCACTGAGGCTCCGATAATACTCTCGCAGTTGATCAGCAGTCTTCGTCGATGACTCAATGGGTACTCTTCCTTCATTTGTTTGAGGTGGAGAGCTATCGTCCTGAGGTTCATTAGAAGAGTCATGACCAGTTGAATGTTCCATCTCATCCGATGTCGGATCGTACGTTGGATAATGTTCATGCCGTGACCACAATTGTTTTCTTGGAGATCGTAAGGAAGCGGTATATTGCAGTAATTCCACGTCGTCTTCTTCAGAAGATGCCGACGATATCTCGTCGATCGCTCTTTGAAGAGCTTCAAGCGCCGCTGCTCGCTGCTCAGCCTCTAACCCGGCTCGATAATCCCGAAGTTTTTCGTCTCGGACTTCATGCCATCGAGTAATATTCGCCTCCATCGCTGCAAATGGGGCCGCTGTTGATGGTCGACGTCCAGATAACGAGTTCCTAACCGACCGGGTTAGACGCTTAGCAATCACTGCTGGGGACGAAGAAGGTCTTCGTGGTTGCAACAAACTGGTAGTCGACGCTGATACTACTTTCCCACCATTGAAAAACCGGTGCAACAGGGTCTCGAACGTCAGCTTTGGAAGCGTCAAGACCTTGACACCTGTTGTATCCTGTGCTACGAGCGTTCGTGACCAACGTTCAGTATTGCGAACCATCGCTATCTCACCTAGACATGCCGGTGCTGTAACAGTCATAACGGGCCCAACTGAAGCTGAGTTGAGCTCGGTATCAATACGGTATTCAAGAGATCCATCCATAACGATGATAAAGGTATCCATCTCGGTGTTTCGGACACACAGCGTGTCTCCAGGAGCTAAATGTAGCCACCTCGCAGCTCTGGCAACTTCCAAAAGTTGGTCAATAGTTAAACCTTGCAACAAGGGCGTTGTCAGTAGTGTGGATACGAATGTCCGCAAGTGGCGAGCTGTCTCTTCTCTCGATAGTGGCGGCTCCTCCCAAAGAGGATAATTCTCACGACTTTGATGGTACAGGAACGCCGTCACGCGCTCTTGGATGTGAGATAGCGTCTCGTCCGACAAGCTGATGGAGCTCACCGACACTGGTTGAAGCGATACAATACTTGCAGCTTTACTGCCTTGCCAACTCTTGGCAAGAAGACGTTCCAGTGCCTGTAACTTAAAGGCATGAACGGACTTGACCTTGTCCGAAGACTCGGTATCAATATTTTGGCCACTGCGGCCTGCAGTGCCAGCTGGAGCGCTGGTTGCTCGTGGGTTTACTGCGGAATCTAGATCGCTAGAACTGCTGCTTATTACACGAGCACTTCTTGTATGTCGACGAAAAAATGATTGCTTGTGCGATGGTCTGTTACTTTTGTGGACTTTGTCGGAAGTCACATTTGTGCCACTGTCGGCTTGGTGAATACACTCCATCACCGCGCTGATTGTGACGTGCCGTCGCAGCTCCAGTTTATACAGAGACGCCAAGCGTACTGCTTGTGCATCTTGTGGGAGAACGCCGTTGGCTTCACTACGTCTTACAAACCCTCGAACCATGTAGAAAGTCTCTTCACCCAGTGCTGTTGCAGCTCGACGTACACGACGATAAGCTTTGCGAGCATCCACGAAGCTTCGTGATACGTTGGTGTTCGATACACAATCAGCACTAGGCTCTGACGCCGCCATGACTAGCAATTGCCTGAATTGCAGTGGCTGTGATCGCAGCCGTTGCATTAGTCGAACCACATGCTGCTCCAGTTGCTGGTGCCACGGCGCTTTGGGATCCACATCCTCATCAGGTATTTTCTCCTTGCCACTACGCTCCTGCAAAATTCTCGCGACTTTGTCTCGAATACTGGCAGGCAACTCCGTAGGCAACAGCTCGTGGTCACACTTACGCTGATCTTGAACGTTGGGTGCCCCTGCCTTAGACACATTAAGGGCACGCTGCAGCGCCAAGCTGGCCTTCCTGCCAGCATATTCCGCTCTATCAGACTCCGAGAAATTAAATGCAGCTGCCGTCTCCATGGCAAGCCCGATAGAAGAGCCTCTAGCCAGCAAGTGATAACATTAAAAATGCATAAATAACTTACCAAGAGCGAGCATCGAAATAATGACAAATACTGAGAGTGATGGTCAATAACCCCAACAAAATTTGTCCTTAAAATGAGGACGAAATAAGATGCAAGATCGTGAAATTCCGAGTGATTTTGTCCTTAACACCTCGATTATAAGGACAAAAATCGAGCGCGCCAGCGCATTTGCCTCTGTGTCTGATATGACAGTTGAGACAGCCAGGGCATTTCCTTGCTTCTGATTGGCTAAAGCTTAGTCAGAGCTTTTGTCGTAATGGAATGGCGATCTCCCCCGCATAAAGTATCATCTCGTCATCCCCGTCGCTCGACGTCCGTTGTTCGCTGGCTGCTGTACTTACTCGTACTAAGCTGCATCTCTTCCTTATCGCTGCTGTTGGTATGGTCCAATGATTCGCTCTCCCCAGCTCTGAGATTCACGAATGACCCCGATGACCTCACATCAAACCAACAAGCGAGCGTCAAGGTGCTCCCGCTGGGTGACATGAGACAGCGCACATTTCGCTGCATTAGCTGGCGAGCCACGTCGAATTGCACTCCATTTGGACCTCGAATCCCTGCGCAAGATCAGCCTTGCAGCAGGACATTGTACAATGCCAATGCTGGGTACTGTGAGCTTGAGGACACTCAGAGTGGAGAACGTTTCCAGGTCATGCGACGACATTGCACCAGTCTCTTTGAAGCGGCTTATTTTCGTTGTCAAGATGCATTAGCCTTTGTGGATTTCAGATTGAAGGCACTAAAGGCCGTTGAGAAAGCGCTCGTGCCAGGGTTCGCGTTACCAAACGTGGTGAGAGGATCACTAGATCCACCGAAGGATGGGATCATTATTGCGGTCTATCCGAAGCTTGTTGCGAGTGCATACGCGTTGGTCCGTACGCTTCGGAAAGTATTACACTGCCACCTACCCATTGAGCTCTGGTATTGTCCACAGGAATTGTACAGCTTCCCTGGTCCTCTTACTCCGTTGAAACACCTCGTTAACTCAGACCCCACTATCACTTTTCACAAGATCGACGATACTCGAGCTATGGGCTTTGGTGCGAAGGTTTTCTTAATCTACAACAGTTTACTGGACCGCGTACTGTTTCTTGATGCCGACAATTTCCCCGTTCGAGATCCTAGCTGGCTATTCCAAGCCTCTAAATTTGTGACTACGGGTGCCCTATTCTGGCCGGATTTCTGGCATCCCAAACGAACAATCTTCAATATCCACGAGAAATCGATGCTCTGGGAGCTGCTGGACGTGTCTTTCACCGACATGTTCGAGCAAGAGAGTGGGCGACTTCTTGTCGACCGACGAAGACATGCAGCTCCGCTGAAATTAGCATTCTTCTACATGTTTCATCAACCCAATTACTTCACTAAACTCAAGGTAGCGCATGGTGACAAGGATCTCTTCCGGTTCGCATGGCTTATGTTGAATGCCTCTTTTCACATGGTGCAGTCACCTCCAGCTGTAGCGGGAAAATTGATCAACGACACCTTTTGCGGCATGACAATGGTGCAATTCGATCTCGAAGACAGCGTGCTCTTTCTGCATCGGAATCAATTCAAACTCACCGGGAAACTCGCAGGACTTAAGAAGAGAAAAGCTCCCGAGGCTGATGGACTACCTGATCAAGTTATCTGGACGCATCTACTCTCCTTTAACAACACATACGATACGGAACACTACATCATCGACACTTACAGAGCAGACCCAGTCTTCCCGAAATCCCAGAGCTGTTTCGGTAAACGCAAACTAGACAAGAACCCACACTTTACTTCACAGAACTTCAGTACCTTTAACTTTGCAGGTTTGGAGAATAAGGTCCGCCAATTCGCTCTAGATGCTGTTAACCTGCTTCCAGCTAGACACAATGTAGATACCTTACGGCAAAGGCTGGCTGGATAATTTGTAGAATTTTTTAACTACAATATTAGAGTACATCTCACATTTACTAACAGTGATAACGACTACAGCTGACTTGCATCGCGAGCGTAGTCCAATAGAGATTACGCCACGGAAAGTTCTTTCCATGGTGTAAGACGAAAGTGCGTCGAGTTCATATAGCGATCTCCGTAGCACGTTCGGGTCTTCACAAATTCATTTCCTCCATTGAAGTTATTAACTTTATAATGCTTCCTGACAAAGTCATAACGATGCACGGGATCAGCATCCACAGACATTATTTCTTTTGGGAATATAAACGTTTGAAGATGTCCCCACGTGTGATCCGTCGAAAATCTTCAGCACCTGATAGTTTCTTCCCATTGCGGTGGAGGAAAACTACCTCGCCTTTTGTATCATGTTGTACCATCGTCATACCACAGAATTGATTCTGTTTTACCATACCCGCTGCAGCTGGAGGCGTGGCGATCATGTGAAAGGGAGTATTAGTCCTTAGCCAAGCTAACCGAAAGAGATCCTTATCGCCGTATGCAAGGCGTAGTCGCTCCAAGTGACGTGGCTCACGCATCGCTAGAAATTGAGCTACATGCAGCGCAACTGCAGCGCGTTTACGATCAATCAAAAGCTGTCCGCTCTCCTGCTCGAACATGTCGAAAAACGGCGTGCCAACGAGCTCCCAGATGAGCGATTGAGCCTTTAGATTGAAGATCGTGTTAGCTGGTGTCCAGAAATCCGGCCAAAATAGTGATCCCGTCTCGATAAACTTAGGAGTATCAAACAAATACGTCGGATCCTTCACCGGTGCGTTGTCGGCATCCAAAAATAGCATGTGGTCCAATTGGGAATGCGCCAAGGCATATACTCTAGACGTGAATCCCACCACTAAATCATCCGTGACACCTCTAAGCGTCACAGGCCCGTAGTCTTTCACTAGCGATTGCAACACACGGGAATAGCCCAATGGCGCTGCACCCATCTCACTCTCCAAGAACCACATCTGTACTGGTAGCTGGCATCCGTAGTCTCTCAACAACCTGATAGTCGCATGGATACTGTGCAGCATCTTTGGATACACAACCATCAGAATTCCTCGCGTAGGTTCTGCAACGTGAGTCTCGGTCCTATTGGTCAGAACACTTCCTCTCAGCTGCATTTCACCTGCATTGTCATTTTGCTTCAGTTCTCTCGTCTTGGATGCAATTATTGCGTTCACCTGAGGAGCTACGCGGACAAAGTCCACTGCCTGGCTGCACTTGAACGTCGTTCTGTTTCTCAGCGAGTTGCAGCTCATTCACATGGCCTGAATCTCCTCTCCAGTGACTTCATCTCGCAGTAAGCAATAGCCTGATGCTCCAGCTTTCACAGTGCCTCCACAGTCTAAATCTCTACTCGGTTCTCTTGGTCCGTCGGGCGAGCAGTTGCTGGTATGTCTCCAACCCACGCACTTGTAGGTGTTTCTTGTGCAACTCCAGTAGCTCGGGTGTCGTGGCTCCGATACCTCGATCGAATGTCATAAGCAGCGCATCTGCAGGGTCACTCTCCACATTTGGCTCTATGGAATATTTGCTGTAGATAGCGCTGCTCCATCGTGACATCCGAACTCGATTGGCGTCGCCCTTGAGGAAAAGCCACCAGAATAGCAGACACCCGACGTACAGCGCAATAGCTAAGTACATGAACATGAGATTGACGCATCGCGCACGCTGTGGGCGCGGCGAAGAACTCGGAGATCGACGCATGGACACCGTTGAGACGGGTGTCGCGGTCTTCCTCTAATCGGGGTCGTGAGTATCTTGGGCCGACGTAGGAGGTAGTAGTATTAGCGACACTACTGTGATAGTAATGTAAAAGTTGATATATTCTTGTGTTTCTTGTTAGAAGGAAATCCACGACTGACTTCCTCGTTTCACCTCGCTAAGAGTTTTTAGAGCTTCTTACCTTTTGTCAGATCCCTCGTGCGTGGCGGTCCAGCTCCAATTCCCGCCACGACCAGCTGCTCCACGACTTCACACTAGGAACGTCACTGTCTTGGCCGCAGGTCCCGCTTGCTTGGACGTGGTCCGGAGAGTCTGGAGTGAGTAGACCTTCTGCAGGCAGTCAGCCAGCATCGTTAATCCACCGTCTAACTGTACACCGTGACACGGGAATGCGGTATGTGTTGTCCTACGGCAATAAACGGGGTAGGGGTATACTTGCACTGTTTTGGACTCGATATGACAGGCTTTCGGTTTAATACGGGTCCATTGGCTGTCAAATTAAAAAGCATGACACTCAATGAGTTCACACTATAATATTATAGAAGTTTTAGTCGAATCCAGTCAGGGTGCCTGGCACAATTTTTGAGACGAGAATTATTAATAAATAAGTACATTTTAAGTCAGCAGTTTTTTTCTTCTTTTTGACACTCACTTCAACTTGCCTCCTCGCGGTCACTTTGCACAATGTACTCCACTGCAGACGTCGGCAATAGTGCCACTGCCTCATTCGCATACATCAACAACTTTTCCTCCACGTGTGGAAACGCTGTGTCTTCCCACGCGATAGTTTTAAAATTGGGTGCTGCCAGCTTCGACTCGCCATAGCACCATTGTGTCTGGTCGAACTCGGGTGCACCATTAAAAAAGTGAACCGAATATTTCTGACGCAGGACGCTTTGCGGTATGATCAGGGTCTTCTCATTTGGTGGCAACGTCGGCTTGGATTCTTCGAGTGCGACCCCAACTTCGGATGCGTGGGATGAAGAAGCACGGTACTGGAAAAGCTGCAAATGTGACCAAATTTGCTCATCAGGTTTGCGTTTTGCTCCAAGTCCACCTTTCAGCTTTTTAGCATTGCGGTGTAGGAATAATACTTCACCATCCGTATCGAATTGAGCCATCGACATGCCGCAGAACTTCGTCTCACGCACTGTACCAGCAATTCCTGGTGGGTTGGCGATCATGTGAAAAGGAGTTTTGGTTTTGAGCCATGCAAGACGGAAAAGGTCCTTGTCACCGTGTACCAATTTATATCGAGTGAACAGATTTGGGTCGTGAAAGGCGAAGAGGGATAGCATGCGCAATGCCGCTGAGCTCTTCGTCCTGTCGATCACTAGCTGTCCACTTTCCTGCTCGTACATGTCTGTAAATGGCATGTCTAATAATTCCCATAGTAACGAGTCTTCGTTGATGTTGAAAATCGTGTTTGCTGGATGCCAAAAGTCCGGCCAGAGAATAGCTCCAGTTTTCACGAACTCGGGGGTACTAAACAAATAACTAGGATCTCGAACCGGGACGTTATCTGCATCCAGGAACAAAACATGTTCGAACTCAGTGTGCGTGATAGCATACACCTTCGAGTTGAAGCCTGCTACTCTTGCATCTGTGATCGAACGCAACGTTAACGGCCCATATTCTTCCTGTAGTATCTTGGGGATATCAGCTAGCAAAGAAGCTCCATTGCCAATGTCCATTTCAGACTCGATATACCACAATTCCACTGACAGCGTACAATTCACTGCTCGCAATGCACGAATCGAAGCGTATGCGCTCACCAGTAGCTTCGGATAAATTACCATCAAAATGCCTTTACTGCGACTCACAGGACTCAAGTGGTCCTTGGTTGTAGCGATCTCCTTCTCCTGTTCCAATGTGCAAGCTATTTTTGCAACTTCCCACTGGAAATCCACAAAGTCACCCGGCATGGGCGACAACTCAGCGTCACACTGGGGTGCAAAGAATCACACGCTGTGTGCATCACCCGAATCTCCTGTCCAGTATCCCCATCTTTCATCAGACAATAACCGCCAATTCCACCACGCACGAACTGGTCGCAGCCTCGATTCTTGGTAGGCACTTCTTTCGCCTTGAGATCGCAACTGTCGGTTTGTTTCCAGCCTATACAGCGCAAATCCGGCGGTGTTTCAGCGTCCAATAGTTGGTGCATCCACCTTCTATCGCCTGCAGTACCATCGTTATTTTTCTCCGTACTTGCTCGCTGTCGTCGTCTCAATTGCCGTGCCGATTGCGAACTCATCTGCACGCCGTTGTCGTTGCCAGAATCCAAGGAATAGGACACGAACGAGCTGCTCAGACTCAGATTCCACACAATGAAGCCCAGAGCATACAAACCAATCACCGAGAAAAGAGCACAAACGCCCACACGAGGCGCATTTCTCGGAGAATTTGGCGGCGTTCTTGTTGGTGCGTATCGCTTCACAGCGGGCGCGTACCGCGGGGGTGGCATCGTGGAGCCGAAAATGCTAACAGTAAGTGGACATTCGGACTGTCTCTGACGTGGGAGCGACGTACCGGGCACATACTTTTGTGGATTACAGTAATCCCAATAAGGCAACTTTATCCCAACAAGAGGACAAAAATGAGGACCAAAAGTTGATGGCCTTGCTTGGCCTCAGTTTTGGTAGATGCTCCTGTGAGCATAAATAGAAATGTATCCCTGTATTAGCTCTCTTCAACCGTGCTAGCAACTCTTTGCTAAACCTACGCGTTATTGCATGAGCTGCTGTGCCGTACGGAGTCTGGAATGATTTCCCGGATAGTGTTTTGTCCTTAAGTTAAGGACAAAAATCGTCAAATGGAATAGTATAATCAAGTTAATTTTTTATTCCATACAAAGTGGCGTCGGCTCAGATCAGAAAGACTTAGCTGCACGATGATTGGAACAAAGTGTCACAAATAACCTTTTATTCAATGCTATCATTGGTTAAAACAAATGTCGTCATTGCGAGCGTCAAGCACACTGCAATAATGACCGAAGGTTTTACTCGCCACCGCGCGAACTCCGCTGCTGCAGCCCCAGCTTTGTCGTCCACATTGCCTCACCATATTAGGCCCAACGTAACTAGACCTGTAGTACCCAGCCGCTGGCCGCGTCGACTGCTCTATACCGGCGTCGTGTACGTTTGCGGACTTGTGGCCTTCATTCTCTACACTCGTTTTCCGTCGTCGCCTAATTCCCACCCATCAAATGGAGCTTTTGACGGCGTACAAGGATTTTCCAGCTCCCAACCCGATGAACAGGCAATTGCTCTAGCAGAGGAGCATGCTCGTGACGTTAAAATGCTACCACAAGGTCATAGCAGACTTCGAGAACTCCGATGCATCGGCTGGAGAGCAACCGACAGTTGCAGTCCTCACGGCCCTAGATTACCGCATCTAGACAAACCATGCCACATGATGGTGGAGCACACACAATCCGGTTATTGCGAGGTGGAGGACAAACAGACCAAAGAAAGGTTCCGAGTCATGCGACGATACTGTCGAAGTATGCGATCCGAAGGTCAATTTCGATGTTTTGATGCGGAAGATTTCGTGAATTTCCCGGTTATTGTGGAGCAGACAATGAACAAAGCACTAACGTCAAATTTCGTATTGCCACAGGGGCGAGAAGGGTCCAAGGGAATTGTTATGGTGGTGTACCCGAAGATGGTACCGAGTGCTTACGCTACACTTCGATCATTGCGAGAGATTTTGAAGTGTACATTGCCAATTGAGTTGTGGTATCGACCGAAAGAAATGCAAGCTGCTCCTGGGTCGATGGAGCCTTTGCAACAATTTGCTGCGTCGACTGCGGACTTGACGTTCCGTGAGATTGACGACAAAAAAGCGACGGGTTTCGGTGCCAAGGTGTTTGCGATTTATCATAGTCATTTCGAGCAAATCTTGTTTCTAGATTCGGACAATGTACCCGTAAGAGATCCGAGTTTCCTGTTCGAGACACACGAGTTCAAGGATACGGGAGCTATCTTCTGGCCGGACTTTTGGCATCCGAGACATACGATCTTTAACGTTCACGGCCAATCGTTGCTATGGGAACTACTCGACCAACGGTTTGTGAATATGTTTGAGCAGGAGAGCGGACAGTTAGTGATCAACCGACGACGACATGGTGCACCACTGGAGCTGGTGAAGTTTTACACTTTCCATACACCAAACTTCTTCAAGACGTTCGAATTGGTACACGGTGATAAGGATTTATTCCGGTTATCTTGGCTAAAACTCAAGTCGCCATTCCACATGATGGACACGCCACCTGCCGTTGCTGGGAAGGCTTTTAACGATTCTTTTTGCGGTATGACAATGGTACAGCACGATGCGGATGGCCAAGTGCTCTTCTTGCATAGAAATTCTCGTAAACTTGTCGGCGAACCCAAACGCCAATATGTACATCTTAAGACCCTCGCTGCTCTAAGGGTAAAGGAAAAGTTGCTACTAACTCGACCTGGTGGACGCACCAAACCCACTTTGGAGGAGATCGAAGAGGAATTGGAGAAGGGCTTCGTCACACCTGCGCCTACCTTGGATGCCCCTGAGGCCGATGGTTATCCAGATGCAATATATTGGACGCACTTGTTATCGTTTCGGAATACTTCCAAGAGAATACACTACAAGATCGATGTGCATGCTGGGCTTGATGGCTTCACTAAGGGCCAGACTTGCTATGGTGTGTCCGATATGGTGGAGAAGAACGAACATTTTTACTTCGAACGATTCGCTAACTTTAATTTTGGTGGTCTCGAGACCCAGTTACGCAAGTTTGCCGTGGAAGCGGCACAAGTGATTAAAGTGCATCTAAACGACTCAGAGATTCAAGCTACGCGACAAAAAAATTAAAACTAACTAAGTTAAGCTATGAATAATATGTCCTTTATTGCCCAAAACGACTTCTACGTACTGTGGCGTCGCTACGTTTGGTAGACCTACCAGTACAGTTATAATTTAGTACAGCCAGCACTTAAGCTTAGCATGAAACAAAAAAAAACTGTACTTCGAAGTACTACTGTACACGTACTGCTGCCGGAAAAGAAGAGCGTACAACCTTCATATTGTTGCATTATGAATAGCTTACTTTCATAGAAGTACAGTAACCTGGTCGCGTAGTACTTTCATAGAGGAACAGTAACTTGGCTATTGACATCGCGAAGCTCACACAATCGAGAGATGAATTTGCGTGTCAACATGATTGTCGATATGCAATCGTACGTTGCGTGATACGTTGATGTATTGATGATATCTGGCTCTGGGTTGTCAGCCCTTGAGCTAGATAGGCTGGTAATACTATTGCATTTTTTACTTGCGGTCCACGGAAGGAAAAAGCGGAAATTCTAAGTGCCAGTATCATCCCACTTCACTCCAAATGCTGCAGAGATCGTCAAACGCTCGTCGATGGCTAGTCCGAGCTCTCGCCATTAGCAGCTTTCTTTACGGGGTACTACTGCTAGTAATTTGGAGCGAAACAGAGCACTTGGAAAAGACAGCCATTCACAATATCCAGTCCTTGCGAAATGATAACAACGCCGAACAGCAGCATTATGGAAGTGACGTTGTCGTCGGCCCCATGCAAGCCATCAATACAACGACGACGTCTGCGAAAACAGGAACCACATTCCAGACAACGCTCAAGACCTTCTTGGACAGTGAAGGAGCGTCCACGATGGGGATCCCCAAATTCACGTGTCTAGGGTGGCATCAAACGGGCGGATGTAGTCCCGATGGGCCACGGGAAACACAAAATGATGCCAGCTGCAGTACGAATATCAAGGCTGGAGCTTCCGGCTATTGTCTACTCAAGAATGAGGCAGGTGAGGAAGTTCAAGCCATGCGTGTCAACTGCTCGTCATTACGAGACGAAGTCAGATTCAATTGCCACCAAGCAGTGGATTTCGTTCGTGTCGCGCCACAGATCGACGCGCTGATTGCTGCTAAGCGACAGGTGATTAAGCAGAATGAGGCCGTGCAGCTCCACCCTACGAACGGCGTGTTAATGGTCATGTATCCGAAGCTTCTTGCGAGCGTCTACTCGACTGTGCGATTACTGCGCTTCTACAACTGCTCGTTGCCTATAGAGTTGTGGTACCTTGAGAGCGAAATGGGCACTAATCCGCTAAACGAGTCGCGTGTTCTGCAATCGCTTGTGAATGAGTATGGACCGATTTCACTGCATGGTATTGCAGAAACACGTGTGGACGGATTTAACACCAAGGTGTTTGCATTGGCACATTCAGAGCTGGACCAGGTATTGTTCCTTGACGCCGATAATTCGCCAGTTAGGGACCCGACGTATCTCTTTACGACACCGACATTTGTGGAGAATGGTGCAATTTTCTGGCCGGATTTCTGGCACCCGATGAACACAATCTTCAACATTAACAAAGAATCGTTATTGTGGGAGCTGGTGGGCACACCATATACGTGGACATGTTCGAGCAAGAAAGCGGTCAGCTATTGATCGATCGGCGCAGATCGGAAGTGGCGCTGGAGATCGCGCAGTTCTTAGCGCTTCGAAAGCCTAATCACTTCGAGCGCCTCAAACTGCTACATGGAGACAAAGATCTTTTCCGTTTGGCGTGGCTGAAGACCAACATCTCATTTCACATGATTCAAACCCCTGCTGCGGCTGCAGGTTCTGTAATAGGCAACCAGTTCTGTGGCACGACTATGGTACAGCATGACCCTCGAGGAGACATTTTGTTTTTACACCACAACGGCAAGAAGCTGATTAGCGAAGGGGAGACCAGTAAGACTCGCGTCTTTCCATAGGTCGCGCTTTTCCAACAACTAAAGTTTTCTCTTGTTAGAGCATTTCCACCGGTAGAGTGAAAGAAAAGGTAAATATAATATCGTATGGGGTGCGACCAAGCAGCGTTGTAAATTTACTCCTGGTAATTTCGCACTGGTTCACAGTAAAATTGGACTGCGAAGAGTCTTGTGCAGCTATATGATCGAAGACCTCAATCATGTCCACTTGATGTAAGGAGCGCTGGATGGCTCGAAAAGGAAAGGCTGTCGACTAACATCCAGCTGCCTGGTTCACCGCCATCGTTGCGGTGAAGGATTCCACTACATTTTCAAACACATTGCTGAGTTTTGTTGTTGTCATACTCATCTATCCAGGATTCCATTATTTTTTACGGGAAGATCTAAAAGTCGGTTTTAGGTGGTGGTATAAATGTTACACGACCGGTGCAAGTGCGCAGTTGTATTTTGAGGGGAAATATAGCTTTACTCCATGTTACCTCTACCGGGCTTAAATGCGGAAAAAGCTCTTTCGACGAAAAATAACACCCGCAGGCGTCGTATATTCGACTATTTCAATAAATCTGCCTAATTTACTGCTAACCAATTTTATTACATTGGCGGTGTGCCCCCCCCCGCCTCGAGGTTTAATTGGGCGATTGTTACCTGAATCAATAGTCCATAGACTGACCACAAAATATTTAACGTACGTGCTGTGGTGAGTGTGGCGTGAATGTTGCTAGGAAGCGTGATCACCCAATGCGAGAGCACAAGCAATAATTGGATGGCCCAAAGTGTATCCGAGAGAAACGGATTGCTCATGGAAATCGAGAAAAGAAGCCACAAACCGTTGCAGCATGTACAGCCAGGACAAGTGGGTCCAAGCGAAAGCGACAAGAATCGCTATTGGACCAATTTGCTGAGAGTATTCTGGATAAGGTGGCGTTGACGATTGTGCTCTGTGGGTTCGATTTCGCCACTTGCTTTACCATGTTTTCCAACACAGGATGTTGCACTGAAGGTATGGTGCCTATCACGTTTCGAAGCAGCCAAGTGCAGAATTTGACACCTTGCTCGCATTGGTCCGTCATAGTCGACAGGTAACACATTGCCTCAATATGGACTCGTGAAAATGTTCCAATACCTGAAATTTGAACACATTCTATCTCCAGGTTTTGTCCATGAATCTCCAGGTCTTGTCCACGTAATTGCGTGTCATCACTTTCAGCTTGCGAAGGCTGGCTCTGGGTGAAGATCTCGATTGCAGTCTCTCTTGTGTTCTTCACTGGAAGAACGGAGAGGCACTTGTCCAGCAGCTTCTTCGGGAGAAGATAGAACGCGTTGTCGTTCAGCACCGGGGCGCTCTGTCGAACATACTTCGGTTTCTTGTTACTCGCTCTATCCCACTTGGTAGGTATTGGGCTTACGCGGCCTAGCGTTTCCTGGAGTGTCGGGTTTTCCCTTTGTAAATCTTGAGCAAGCTGTACTAGAGTAACGTCCCCCATTTTTCGGTGATGCTCCTCAGACTCGTTAAACAGTGCCCGTTTCTTCTTGTCTTCGGCCTCGCGCTCTTCCGTATTTAAACGAGGTCTTCCGGTCTTTGCAGCCTTCGGGTTCAACCTGATCGACAATTCTGTTGGTGATTTCGTGTCTTGGTCATCGCCATCAGTCTCCACGAAAGGATTCGAGTTTGTGATTTTGATACGCTTCCGCTGTCTAATGTTCGCCCACTGTTTGAGAAGAAAATCAAGATGCTCTTTGTACTCGTCCTCGTCCTCTATATCTGCCAGTTCGTTGCAGATTGCTTGTGTAGCACTGAGCGCCTGTCTTTATCTTGGTCGCTGCATCGAGTGCCTTCCACTTTGTTTGGCCAGGTTTGAATTCATTTACAACTATAGGTCTAGGCATCTGCTCTAGCTCTGCAGGATGTAACCACCTGTACACATTCGTATTGAAGGGAATGCCAGCACGACATGTTAATTACTGGACGAAACATGTACGATGCATGGATAATACATGGACATCGCCATAGGCTCAGCTACTCACCGCTCATGGATCCGACTCAATGGAATGACACTTCCGGACACCTTTTTCCACTTTCGGTAGGCGATAGCATGCTGACAGGGTAAACGCATAGCACACGCGAAGGAACACGAACAGCTCCAGTGTGACAAGTCCACATAATGCTCCTTGTGTTTTCCAAATACCACCACGAAGCCAGGCTTGGAGACCGTATCGTAGACGAAAACTTCGGCCTTGGACATGGCCATCAAATACTCCTTCTGAACGTGCTCTGCGACAAAGTGAGTCGTAAACCGCAGCACTTGACACAGCTCTTCATCGTAGTTTCGGTTTACTCGCAGTCCCACGCGATTCTTGCGGAACAAATACTCACTAGACATTCGTGCGTCAGCTCCCACGAGAGCCTCGATCGTTTCAGTCATCGACATTGTGTGGGTAACCGAATCCTTAAAGTGGCCGAGCCAATTCTCCAAGTGGTTGTTAGTGTGGACGCGCAAATGTGCAAGCCGAGCCCGTTTGTACATGACCCACATGTCTATACATTCATTTCAGTTATATGGATCCAGTGGATGGATGGTATTCCAGAAAGCTATTGAATCGTATCTGTGCGCACAGTGTGTTCATCGACTCCCTATTCTTTGTGTATATGTCTTCATTCACGGAGTACACCATATTATGCACGAGTGTATCGATTGCATCATGATCATCTTGCGAGATCTGCCCATACTCAGGCTTTCTGGAAGCTGTGCGCAGGTACTTGATCACATGAAAGAAGCAGATCAACACACGCGCCTTGGGGAAGTACTTCTTCAGTACGCGAATCTCGTGCAAGTCTTTATCGACCATGATAACTTGCACCTTTTCGCCGATCTTATCATCTACACAGTTGGTAGTTGTACCTAGAACACACGAGCAGATTGATATGAGATAAAGATCAATAGATGGACAATACATGGACAATACCCAGACAATACATAGATATAACCTACCGGTAGGTCTTGTGAGTACAATCCACTAGCAACAACTCGGGGAAGCGTACGGTCATGTCTCGCTGGTGCCTCGAAGTCATGCTCATGACACCGGAGTGCCCAGCGTCAGTCTCGTCCACAGTCGCCACGTTGCCATCCATCGCTGCAAACTCGGTAAGTGCTTGTGCGCAGGTATCATCATCGTTGAGTCCGCCTCGAAACTCGGCCTTGACACGCTGGACAATGTTGTCCACGTCTTTCTTAACCAGGCTTTCCCCTTTGTCGAGCAGGTACTCGTAAATACGAGCGCGCTTGCGACCGTACTTCACCTTTTCGCGCACGGTGGACCTTGTCTCAGAATCCTCCAACTTTCGGCTCTCTGCGTAAGTTTCGAAGTGAGCGGTACCCACGACGTGGTTGTGGTGGTAAACCCCGTTCTTCACTCGAAGCAGCCACTGGCCTTCCTCTTCCACGACTTGAACCACGAGCCGAAAAGGACACCCAGTGCCACGAACAAACTGCTCCGGCCGCACACCTGTGCTCCGATCCTTCGTCCGCCACCCATGCGTACAAATATATGTGCGCTGGTACGTTGCCCACTGGGTCGGAACGTATGGTACGTCAAGACCTTCTCGTGCAGCGACAGTTTTAGCCAACCGCTTGTTCCGCAAGTCGCAGCTCACAGTCATGGAAACTCGGATGATCTGCCGCGTTGAAGATGGGTACTTCTTCAAATAGACCGCCCAGTCGGCCCAGCTTGAGTGAAGGGCTTCCGGGGCACAAACAGGCACTGGACAATCTGAAACCTGGACGCTGCATGGACGTTCCGCATTGTCGGTGCCCGACTCGTCGGAGCTCTCAGAGCCTTCTGCAGAGTTCGTAGGAGCGGAAGGAGCAGCATCTGACGCCTCTTCGCTCGAGCTAGGCTGTTGAGGGCACGTAGTTAGCAAAACCGACATACGTATGAGATCAGGTAGTTATGCAACGCACCTCTGGCTGACCTGTCGCGGTTTCTGAGGCCGGTGATGGCGGCGTCGGCAGTGAAGAGGGCGCGGGAGGCTCCAGTGGGGGAGTTTCAGACTTGCTATCCGACATATCGGAGCGGGGGAGGGCGGCAACGACGTGCACAGCGACGACGGTACCGGAAGCTCCGGCTTATCGAAAGTGAAGTGAGTGGCTGTGGTAGCCCTCAAAATCGTTGAGAAGCATGGACATTTTACATGCATAATACATGTATTTTACACAACCCGTAATTTATAATTTTCAGGTCGGTAATTTTACAGCCTGGACAATACATGGATGGCCACCTGGACAATTCATATATTCAGCGCATGGACGATAGCATTTACGTTTTTTTTCTCAAAACGAACACAAATAAACAACTATCCTCCCAGTAGCAGCCAAATCGAAATAGCTGCTTTGTGAAAAACACGGCCTTGGCCTTTTTTATCCCTCTATTTATACCGTGTTTTCCTGGTACCGTAGTGTTACGAGTAGTAGTACGTACAGCCCTATTGGGACTAATTAGAATTTATGTTTTTACACCAATAATAGGATTCAAATTTCAAATGAGAAGGTATTATATTCCCAAAAACTTCACAGGTTTCACTTCGCAGTACATGGGTATAAACTAATAAAAACTTAGTGTACGAAACTAAATCTGGCTCACTTTACTCGTCGACGTAAATGCTAGGATATTTTTGTAGAGGGGTTTCTAACTCGC